TCTCTGGGCTGTCCTGAGGGGGTCTGGGGGTGCTTCAGGAGGTCTTAGGGATGCTCAGGGGTGTTCCTAGTGGTATTCTTGGGGGAGTTAAGTGGTCCTGGAGGTGTTTGGGGGGCTCCAGGCTAGGCCTGGCGGGGTCTCAAGGGGTTCTATGGATCCTTTGGGGAGGTCTTAGTGGTGCTGGGGTCTTCGGGGTGCCCTTGAGGGGTTTGGGGGGTTCTAGGGGCGCTTTAGTGATGTTCTGGGGTGCTTGGGGGGGTCTAGAAGAGGCCTGGGGGGTTCTGAAGGTGCTCGGGGGGTTTGGGGGTGCCGGCGGGGGTGTCTTAGGGGGTCCCCGGTGTGCGCCCCCCGCTCCATCACACACTTGCCGGTGCAGGTCCCCTCCACCTCGGTGAAAAGCTTCTGCTTGACGGTGTTGAGGAGGTTGGGCCCGAAGTACCGCGGGTGCAGCAGGATCTCGTGCTCCAGCGAGATCTGGGGACCGGGTACGTACCGGAACCCACATCAGTGCACCGGGACCCACTTGGAGGCGCCACCCCCCCCCTTTTCCGGTAAGACACGTGACTCTCCCGGTAGTACACGTGACCCCGCCGCCGCTTACATGATAGAACATCCTCCCGCTGCCGCCGCCGCCGTCACCGGGTCGGAAGTAGCGCGCGGGCCGCTAAGCCCCGCCCCTCAGATTAGCTCCGATTGGTCAACGGCGAGCTGCGCGTTGCTAAGCAGCGGAGCACCGCCCACCTCCTGCGCATGCGCCGTGGGGAAGGAGGGAAAGCGAAGGACCAGACACGGGACGGGGCTAAGGGGAGCAGCAGGCGGTGATTGGCTGAGGGAGAGCCAATGGGAGGGAGGAAGCAGGTGATTGACAGGGAAAGGCTGAGGGACCCCCTGAGCATCCCCAGGGACCCTCAAACCCTCTCAGGACCCCCCCAAGCACCCATATCCCCCCATAGCATCCTTTAGGCAGCCTTGGGACCCCCCCGAACCCTCCAAACACCCATGGTATCCCCACAGCAGCCTGGGGACCCCCCCAGGTATTCCCCAGCCTCCCCCCAGCAGCTCCAGACCTGCCCTGAGCATGATCCAGCAGCCCTGGGACCCCCCCCCAAGCACCCCCACACCCACCTGAGGCTCCTAGAACCCCCCCGAGCATCCCTCATGAGCACCCCTAAACTCAACCTGAGCACCCCACCACCCCCACATCCCTCTAGACCCTCCCAAACAAGCCTCTGGGGGGTCCCTGCAGCATCCCGACCCCTCCCAGACTCCACATCCACTTCTGCTCCCTTTTATTCAGAAAACGGATTGGGAATGGGGATGGGGCTGAGCCCCCAAATCGATGGGGGCGGGGGGGGTGTCCTTGGATGGGGGTGTTTAAGGGCAGAACCGCCCAGCCAGGAGCCCCAGGCGGTGGATGTTCTTGTGCAGGACGCTGTGCAGCACAGCCAAGTGCTTGCCTACATCCCCATCCCGGGTGAAATCCCGCAGGAAGAGCCCGCGCTCGGGCTGGAAGGTGAATTTCTGCGGGAGGGGGCTGTTCTCCCGCAGGTAATCCCAGAGGCTGAGCAGCAGGAGATGCACCTCGAAGGGGGCGAGGTGCGGGAAGAGCTCATGCATGTTCCCCAGCACGGGTGGCAGCAGCGAGCCCTCGGCCATAGCAGCCACCAGCGCGCACGAAGCCTGCAGGTGCCAGGGCGAGCCGGTGGTGCCGTTATCCCGACACGCTTCCCAGTGCGCCATGAGGCTGGCCAGGAGCCCGCGGAGCAGCACGGAGCAGTAGCACAGCGCCGGGCGGCCCGCGGCCACCAGCCGCAGCAATGGGAAGAGCAAGGGGTGATCCCGGAAGCGGCGGCAGATCCGGAGATCCCGTTCCACCGTCCCACGGGCCTGCTCCTCGGGCGGCCACGTCAGCTCCGCACCCGACGCCTCCGGACACACGTTCTCCACCAGCGCGGCGGCCACGGCTTTAGCGGCTTCGGGATGGATCCCGTTGGATCCCGCTTCCCCGGCCCGGGCGCCGCGGCTGCAGCGCAGGAGGAGGCTCAGGAAGGTCTGGATGTTGTTGGCCAGCTCCTCGGGTGGGCGCTCACCCCGGCCCGGTGGCGCCTTGAGCCCGCGGCCGATGACCCCGGCGTGGAACACGGACCAGACACCACCGGAGAAGTTGACGGCGGCCGTGAAGCGCCGGTTGGTGTCCAGCAAGGAAACCCCGGCGCCGCCGCTGCTGCTCTCCTCCCCTTGGCTGGGTTTCTCCGGCGAGGCACCGAAGAGCTCGGCGTTGCCGCGGCGCAGCGCTCCCTCCACCAGCTGCTGCAGCACGGCCTTGGCGGCCGCCGGGGACACGGCGCTGAGCCGGGCCAGCAGCCGGGAGCTGCAGCCCAGGTTGGTGGCGTTTTGATGCCGGAGAACCAGGAAGAACTGGTGGGAAGCGGCTCGCACGGTGCCCAGGAGCTGAGCAGGGGCCGGGGCGCGTGGCAATGGCAGCACCGACAGCAGCAGGCAGGCGGCCTCAGCCACTTCAGCATCACGGTGCAGCAGGAGCTGGCTCAGGTCATGGAGATGCCGCGCCAGCACGGGGCCAAGCTGCGGCCCCATGGCCGGGCCCCCGTCCCCGGTGTCCCCTTGCACCACAGAGGCCAGGTTGCGGAAGAGCTGAGCCACCTGCGCGTCCGGCAGGCGCCCGGCGTGGATCTGGCACACGCAGGTCTTGACGGTGGCCGGGAGCAGGGCGGTGAGGCAGGAGCTGAGCACGGCGTGGAGCTGCGTGGCCAAAGCCAGCTCGTCCTGCGTGCGGGCCAGGGTAAGGAGGTGGAAGAGCGCATCCGTGGCGCAGTGCGGCGCCGAGTACACGGCCAAGAGCGCCAGGAGCTGGTGCTGCCATAGGAAACGCTTCCGCTCCAGGCGCAGCGTCTCCACGCACAGCTCCCGCACGTGCGGCCGCAGCGCGTCCAGGAAGGGCACCGGGCGCGGGAGCGGGGCCTCGGCCGGGTTGGGGCTGCCCCGGTTGTAAACGAGCTTCTGGAGGTTGAGCAGCAGGAGCTGGATGACGCGGTCGCAGGCCTCGCGTACCCCGTCCTGCAGCGGCGGCCCCGGTGCCGTGATGACGGAGGCCGGCATGGCCGTGTTTACCAGGAACTGCAGGATGCGGTGGGCGCCGGCTGAGGTTTGGCAGATGAGGTGCACCACGATGCTCACGGTGTTGTCCAGCTCCTCGCGGGGCAGGGAGGCGAAGTGCTGGTGGAGCTGGTTGAGGACGGGGGGTTTGAGGGAATCCACCAGCTCGGCCGACACGGTGCCAAGCAGCGCCGGGGACATGACCGCCAGTTGGAGCAGGAAGGGGACGGTGGCTTTTTGGTGCTGGTCCCTGGTGGGCCCTAAGCTCTCGTGGAACATCCTCAGCAGCTCCTGCTTGATGCTGCCCGAGTGGCGCGAAGCCAAATGGCCCAAGATGCCCACAACGGAGGCGATTTTGGGCACCCGTTTGTCGGCACTGGCGCCGGGGAAGAGCAGATCCCCGGGAGCGGCTCCGTGGGCACAGAAATCCTTGAGGCCGCAGGAGAGGACGCGGCTGATGATGGTGTTGGGGAAGGAGGAGCCGATGTGCGCCACGACCCAGTCGAAATGGGGCGAGTGCTGCACCGAGGTGTCCAGGAGCGCGTCCACGCAGGCGTCGGGGCAGCCGCCGATCATGGCCGAGAGGCACTGGGTGTAGATGTCCATGAGGGTGCGTGTGGCCTTGCAGGACATCCAGAGCTGCAGGAGCTCGTTGAGGCTGGCGGCGTGGGGCACCCCGTGCCTACCGGCGTATTTACTGCTCAGCTGGCCCATGAGCTCGATGGACCAGGCCGACACGACGGGGGCCCAAGCCTTGGGGTTGGCACGGATGAAATCGGCCAGGACGCGCTGCACCTCCTGCACCACCTCCTCCAGGGCGGCGTTGCCGGGGGCGCCGGGGCTGTCGCGGGCCAGGAGGTGGGCACAGACCTGCTCGTCGAAGAGGCCGCGGAGGTGCTGGAGGGCGGCGTGGCGGGCGGGGGGAAGGCTCCGCAGCAGCAGCAGAGCGCAGCGAGCGTGGTCCTGAGGTGAGAGCTTGGTCCCGTGCGCGGGGTCCACACCGCTCAGGAAAGCCTTCACCTCCTGCGCCAGCTCCTGAGCGCTGCAATGGGGAGAACATGGGCACATACAATGAGGAACCCAGCAGCCCCATAGGAAGTGAGAAAGGGGGGGATCAGGTTGGAGGAAAAGGGACCTAAGGGGTTCAATAGGGAGTGAAAGGCATGGGGCGGACTGTGAGGAGGGTCTGGGGTTGGGGGAAAATCACTGAAGGGATCCATGGGGCAGAGCCTGGGGTTAGGAGAGGGGCCCTGGAGTGGTTCCATGGGGGTGAAGGGCAGAAATAGGGGCTGGGGGGCTGAAATGAGGGGCTGGGGTCGGTGGTGGGGGGGCTCCAAAGGGATTTTGGGGGGGGGGTCTCTGATGGGTTCCATTGGGCAGGTTCCCGGGGGGCTGTGGAAGGGCCAAAGGGGGCCCCATGGGGCAGGGCTCGGTGGTCCCTCATGGGTTGAATGGGGCAGGGTCTCGGGGAGGGGGGGCCCGGGGGGGGCCCCATGGGGCAGGGCTCGGTGGTCCCTCATGGGTTGAATGGGGCAGGGTCTCGGGGAGGGGGGGTGGAAGGGCCATGGGGGGGGTCCCTGATGGGCTCCATGGGGCAGGGCCCGGAGGGGGGGGGTCCCGGCGGTACCTGGGGGGCGGCCGGGGGGGGCTGGCGGCGCCGGGGGGGTCGCACAGCGCCGACATGGCTGCGGCGGCGGCGGGAATGCGCATGCGCGGGGCAAGGGCGGGGCCTCCCTGTACCCTTCCCCGTTCCCCCCCGGGCTCCGCACGAAGGTTCCGCCCGCACTCAAGTTCCGACCCCCCCCTGCACCCCCAACCGCTCCGGATCCGCTCCCCCCCTAAGGACAGACGGACACAGGGACAGGCAGACGGAGCCTCCGCCATCTTTATTGCTGGGGGGGGTCACCCCCCTCCACCGCCGCCGCTTCCACCATCTCCACGTCCGAAACGCTCCCGGCCTCCGGTCGCTCCCCGCGGGCTTCCCCCGGCTCCGGGGTTGCGGGTGGGGGGGACACGGGCACTGCAGGGACGGGAGCACGGGTCAAGAACGGTGCCTTTATATCCCGCCCCTTCCGCTGACCCCGTCCACGCTGCTCACCCCCTCGGGCCGCCGCCCGCAGCCGCTTCAGCACCTTCCGCCGCCGCTTCCCCCAGAGCTGCGCGGGGTCGTTGTCCTTTCGGAGCGGCCTGAGCACAGAGAACCCCCCCCCCGGGTGTCCGGTAAGGCCCCGGTAACGGCCGCGGAAGGGGGTGAGGCACAAACACACCGGGGAGCTGGGGGGGGGGGCACTCACTTCCGCTTCTGCTGCCGCCCCCCCCGCGCCAGCACCCGGCGCCGCTTGAACAGCTTCTTCTTGAGCTCCTATGGAGGGACACGGACCGTTATCGGAGGTGCACCCCCATAGGAGGTTCTACCGTATCAGCCCTCCCGTCCCGTCCCGTTTATGCACCCCTTGCCCTCCCCCCCCCTCCGCCGCGGTTATCGGCCCCGGGACCCCCGGTACCGTCCGCGGCCGGTTGATCTTCCCCCCGATCCCCATCGTGTGCGCTAGGACCCGGTTCCGGTTTGACCCCACTTCCGGTAACTTTCCTCCCCACCTCTCCCTTCCATTGGCCCGCCGCTTCGCGGGTTTCGTTCTGATTGGTGGCGCTCCCTTGAAGTCCCGCCCACCGCACCGGCTATAAAAGGCTGAGCGAGGGGCGGCAGTCGCCATTTCGCGCTGAGGTGAGCGGGGTGAGGGGTTGAGGGAGGCTCTGGCTGCACCTCCCGTTCTTGGCGGGCCTCGGCGGCCCCGTGCCGAGGCCTGTAATGTTACGGAGGCAGAGAAGCGACCGGCGCGAAGTCTTCGGTGCCGGTGGCCGCCTCCGCCGGTCCTACCCTCACACGCCGGGACACGCCGCTTCCTTCCGCCGGGAGCTGCGGTGGGGCCTGGCCGCCCAGCTCACCGACACCGCTGCTTTCTCTTCCGCAGGGCCCGCCGCGGGACGGGGACGCCGGAGGACCCAGAAGACATGTTGGGGGTGTTCGGTGAGGCCGTTTTGGCCTCGTTCACCGTTAATAAACTCGTTACCGATCGTAGTTGCTTCGTTGTTCCTTACGGTCCGCGGGGTGGGGGGGGGGGACACGTGTGTGCTCGGCCCCGAGTTAGTGGGGGGGCTTAGTCCTCCAGGCCGCCCGTCTCTCGTACATGGGGCACTGAGAAAGTCTTAGTCTCCATGGTACGGCCCAGGGTAGACAGGCGCCGTCTCTATGGTTAGGGGCGGGGCAGACAAGCCCCGTCTCTATGGTTGGGGCGGGACGAATTTCGTCCACTCCCGGTGACCGGGATGGCGGCGCTGCGGCGCTGGGCCCTGGCACTGCTCCGGGGCTCGGTGCCCGCCGCGATCGGGTACCTGCTGTGGGTCGTGATGGAGTCGGGGGACGAGAAGCGTCAGCAGATGCTGAAGGTACGAACGGGACCGCGACCACAGCGGGTGGGGGAGGGGGGTAACGGCGCCGCCCCCGGTCCCGAACCCACCCCGGGCCTCCCGCAGGAGCTGCCCGAGGCCAACCCCGAGGTCCTGGCGGAGCGGCGCTACCACAACCGGCTCATCATGGCGGCGCTGCGGGAGGCGGCCGAGACCAACGAGAACGTGGCACAGCGGCCGGTGCCGTGGCGGAAGTGACCTCAGCACCGTGACACCCCCCCACCCCTCCTTAACCCCCTTGTCCCCTGTGACCTCCTCCTCCTGAACCCAGCGGAATCCAACGCGCGGGCAGCGGTTGGAGCCCGGAACTATCAGCACGTGGCCGACGGACCCTTTTGTGAGCGGACCGGCCACTTCCGCATCCTCCCGCCGCCGCCATGGAGCCGAGCACGGAGGGGCCTCCGAAGCCGCTGTTCGGGGGGTGCTGGAGCTGCCGGCTCCTCAGCGGCGCGGGACTCCTCCTGGCCGCGGCCTGGATCTACCAGGGCCCGCGGATGAGGATGAAACGCGGGATCCCCCCCTCCATGGGCACCATCGCACAGATCACCTTCGCCCTCAGTGAGCGCCGGAAAAGGCGGGGGGGGGGGGGGGCTGGGTGTCACCATGGCAACGGGGAAGGGCGGAGCCAATAATGGGCGGGGACGAGGTGTCATGGCAACGGGGGCGTGGCTGCGCGGTCTCCATGTGAACAAGGAGCGGCGTTACAGCGCCGTCTCCATGGGAACGGGAGGAAAGGGGAGGGGCTTGGGGTGTCAATCAACGCCGGGGAGGGACAACACATGTCGCCATGGCAACGAGGGGGCGGGGCTTGGGTGCCCCTGCGACCGGGGGGGGAAGGGGTGGGCCTTGCGGGTGTCCATCAACTCGGGGGCGGGACAACGCGTGTCGCTATGGCAACGATGGGGCGGGGCTTGGGAGAGGTGATAGGGTGGTTTTTATGGCAACCAGGGAATTGCCCCCATAGCAACAGCCCATGGGGGGGTAACCATGACCTCTGGTGACCCCAGGTGTGGGGGCCTGGGGCGTCGTTATCCTAGTGGATCCCGTTGGGAAGCAGATGCGCAAGGAGCCATGATGTCACCGGGATACCTATGACATCATCCAGATCCCTCCTGATGTCACATGGACTCTCGGGGGGGGGAATGGGGTGTAACACCCCAATAAAGCTGCTCTGAACCCCGTGACCCCAATGCTGTGTGCTGGGGGGTGTATGGGGCAGGCAGGGGGGGAGGCATCGATGAGGACTCCCCCAAACACCCCCATGGTCCCCCCAAAACCCCAGCTGCCCCTAGGGACCCCCCCAAAATCCTCAGGGACCCCCAAACCCCCATGATGGTTGACACCCCCATCAGTTCATTGCCCCCCCAAATAACCTCTGTCACGTGCTGCTGTTTGGTCACATGTCTGTGCCTGCCCCCTCCCCCCCCCCAGCCAAAGCTGCTGTCACGTGGGTGCGGAGAGGGGTGTTTATTGGCGGGAATGTCTCGACACAGGGGGGAGGGGCGCTCAGGAGCTGGAGCACACGGTGCGCCGGCGGGGGGAGGGGAGAGGGGGCGGGGCCGCCCCTTGGTCCTCCTGCCCTTCCCCCACGTCCTCCTCTGGCCCCTCCCCCTCCTTTTCCTCCTTCTCCTCCTCCGCGGTGGGGGCGCTGGGTTCGGCCTCCGGGGGGGGCTCGGTCTCTGGGGGGAGGGGGGAGATGGTGGAGCCCCTCCCCCACCCCAAAGAAGGGGTTGGGGGGTGGGGGAGGTGGTTTGGGGGGCCCATCCCCTCTCTCACCTGCATCCGGCTCCACAGGGCCCAGGAGCTCCGGGGGGGGCGCTGGTGCTGAGGGGGGGAGGGGCATCATTGGACACATCCCTAAAGTCCCTCCCCCACCCCCTGTGCCCCCCAAAAATTTCCCCTCCCCCACCCCTTAGCCCGTCCTTCCCACCCCAACTTCCCCTCCCTCAACTCCCCCTCCCCCCATGACCCCGCCCCTCTCCCCCGGTTTCCTACCCTCCCCTCCCCCCTCCTCCTGCTCCTCCTCTGGTTCCCGTGTGGCGGGTGCTGATTGGCTGCGGGTGGCGGCGGGGGCGGGGCGAGCGCGGGGCCACGCCCACTGCAGGTACCCGGCGAGGAGCAGCAGGCTCAGGAGCGCGAAGTTCCCGGCCACGCCCAGCAGCGCTGACGTCACCGGGAAGTGGTAGAGCAGGTACCTGGGGGCGGGGCCAAAGCGGGAGGGGCGGGGCTTAGCGGCGGTGGGCGGGGTTTGGGGCGGGCTATGGGGGGTTGTGCTATGTATGGGGTGAGGATATGGGGCTGGGCTATAGGGCAGAGCTATGGGGGAGTTGTGGTATAGGGCTGAGTTAGGGAGCTGGGCTATGGGGCAATACTATGGGGGGCTATGCTATGGGGCTGGGTTGAGGAGCTGGGCAGAGCTATGGGGCGTTGTTCTATAGGGCCAGGCTGGGGAGCTGGGCTATAGGGCAGTGCTATGGGGGGTTCTGCTATCGGGCTGGGTTTGGGAGGTGCGCTATAGGGCAGAGCTATGGGGGGGGGTGCATAGGGCTGAACTGGGGAGCTGGGCTATGGGGAAGTACTATGGGGGGGTTGTGCTATAGGGCTGGGCTGCGGAGCTGGGTTATGGCCGGCTGGGCTATAGGGCAGGGCTATGGGGGGAATGTGCAATGGGGCTGGGTTATGCAGCTGTGCTATAGGGCCATTCTGTGTGGCTGGGCTACGGGGCAGCCTATGGGTCACCTTTACTACAGGCTGGTACAATGCGTGTGCACCCGCAGCACTATAGGGGTACGGCACTATGGGGCAGTGCTATAGGGATACAGCTCTATGGAGCAGTGCTATAGGGGTACGGCACTACGGGGCAGCGCTATAGGGGTACAGCACTACGGGGCAGCGCTATAGGGATACAGCTCTATGGAGCAGTGCTATAGGGACACAGCCCTATGAGGCAGTGCTATAGGGATACAGCTCTATGGGGCAGTGCTATAGGGACGCAGCCCTATGGGGCAGCCCCACATCTTCCCCCTTACCGCAGGCCGGTGAAGTGCGCGTGCACCCGCAGCTGGGCCCGGTACAATTGGATGCGTTTGCTCTGGATCTCCAGCACCGCCCCCAGCGTGGGCTCGTACTGAATGGGGGCGAGAAGCAGGGGATGGTGTGGGTCAGACCCCCCCCAACCTGCCCCACATCCCCCCAGCCCCACGGCGCTCACCGAGTCCTCGCGGTAATGGGAATAGAGCTCGACCTCCACCATCTGCTTCTGCTCCGCGAAGCCGCTGAGGAAGAGCGCGGCGAAGGCCACGGTGTCCAGCGTGCGCAGGAGGCGGGAGCGGTAATGGAGCATGGCCTGGGGTGGAGGGGGGGGATATATAGGGACATGGGGGGCAATAAGGGGGGGGCACCCCAAAATACCCCCCCCCAACACCACCCCACAGCCCTGCCCCACTGACCGGGCGCGCGGCGGAGGCGAGGGGGCGCCCGCCTGCCCCATAGCAGGTGATGGTGACCATGAACATGCCCAGGGCCCGGTTTACCGGTGACTCCGGCAGCTCCAGCTCCAGGGAGATGCGGTAGAGCTGCCCATAGAGCAGCACCTGGGGGGCAGGACAGAGAATGGACACATAGAGCTATGGGGCAGATGTCCTGCCTCCTTACAGACCCAGCTCCAGCCCCACAGAACTATGGGGCAGACATACCGCCTCCTTACAGACCCACCTCTAGGCCCACAGAGCTATGGGGCAGACATCCCGCCTCCTTACAGACCCAGCTCCAGCCCCACAGAGCTATGGGGCAGAGGTCCCACCTCCTTACAGACCCAGCTCCAGCCCCATAGAGCTATGGGGCAGATGTCCTGCCTCCTTACAGACCCAGCTCCAGCCCCATAGAGCTATGGGGCAGACATCCCGCCTCCTTACAGACCCACTTTTAGGCCCATAGAGCTATGGGGCAGACATCCTGCCTCCTTACAGACCCACCTCTAGGCCCATAGAGCTATGGGGCAGATGTCCCGCCTCCTTACAGACCCAGCTCCAGCCCCATAGAGCTATGGGGCAGATGTCCCAACTCCTTACAGACCCAGCTCCAGCCCCACAGAGCTATGGGGCAGACATCCCGCCTCCTTACAGACCCAGCTCCAGCCCCATAGAGCCCCTTAAGCCCCACCTCCAGCCCCACACATCTAAGAGCTCTCCCTAGTCCCATAGATCTATTCTATCTCCCAGCCCTACAGATCTACACCCCCACCCCTCCTCCAGCCCCACACATCTATGGGGCACCCCCCACTCACCTTCTCCCTGTTCCCTCCCAACAAGGACACATTGGCAGTGGGGAAGGAGCAAAGCTCCGGCCCGGGGGAGCCGCAATCCGTCCTGCACGAACGAGCACACGAAGAGGTTAAACCCCTATGGGGCAGCCCCATAAGTGCCCCATAACCACCACCCCCCCCCATTGAGGCCCATTACCGGAAGGCGTAATGGACGGGGCGGACGAAGGCGACGGCGGGGACGTAGGAGTAGTAGAAGGTGCCGTAAAGGAAGAGCGAGGCCCAGAGCAGGAGGAGGGCGGCGCAGGCCGCGACCCCGGCCCGCAGCGCCGCCCGCCGGGCCCCACGCAGCAGCGCGCCCGCGGCCTGGCCCCACTGCGCCGGCCCCACAGCCATGAGCGCCCCATGGGGCGGCTGCACATGAGGGGAAAGGGGGGGAGGGTTGGGTGCGGCAGGGGCGGGGCTGTGCCCCATAGAGAGGCCTCAGGCCCTGCGCTGCCCCATAGATGGAGGGGGGGGGAATGGCCCAATCACGCTTGATCCCAGTTCCAGCCCCATAGGTCTATGGGGCACCTGTCCCTTGCCTTTCTCCAACCAGCTCCAGCCCCATAGATCTATGGGGCACCCGTCCCTTGCCTTTCCACAACCAGCTCCAGCCCCATAGATCTATCGGGCACGTCTCCAACCCCCTCAATCCCCATAGGCCTGATCCCCCCCAATCCCACCTCCAGCCCCAAACATCTTTGCGGCGCCCATCCCTTGTCCTCCCCCTCACACCTCCAGCCCCACAGCCCCATAGATCTGTGGGGCACCCCCAACACCCCCCTTCCCCTCCTGCCCATCAATCCGTGGGGCGCCGGCCCTACCCTTGACCCCATCCAGCTCCCGCCCCACAACCCCAGACCCCTGCCCCACACATCTATAGGGCAGCCGCTCCCCCCGCCCCACACATCTATGGGGCAGCGGCGGTTTCAGGCCTTTACCGGAGCCGGCGCCGATCGCGTCCCGGTCCCCACAGGCGGGGCCCCGCCCCTAACCCCGCCCGTTCCGGGCGCAAGCCCCGCCCACTGCGGCCCCGCCGGGCCCCGCCCGTCGTCCCCATGGCAACAGGAGGGGTCCATGGGGCGGCCCATTGGGGGTTGGGGGGGGTGTCCCCATGACCCCGCCCCCCCCCGTGCTGCATCCTCGAGTCCCACCCATGGGGGGGGGAGGGGGGAGTAACCCCTTCCCCCTCCCCCCAACCCGCGACCCCCCAATAACCAGAGTGGGGGGAGGGGCGGGGGGAGGGGCGGGGCCGTGTCCCCCCAAACCTTCCCCCCCCCCTTCCCCCCCCGAAGTGGTTCCGCCCGCTCCGAGCATCGCCCGGCACCGATCGCGGCTCCGGCTCCGACCCCTGAGGTAAATGGGGGGGGGGAGGGCAAAAAGGGGTTAATTAATGAGGAAAAGGGGTTAATTAATGAGGAAAAAGGGTTAATTATGGGGGGTGTTAATTAATATCGGGGGGAAACGCGGGAATTGGGCGGGAAAGGAGGATTTGGGGGCGTGAAAGGAGGATTTGGGGGTGAAAATGGGGATTTGGGGCGTGAAAGAGGGTTTTTTTTGGGGGGGAAGGGGGGTTTGGGGGTAATTAGTGAGGAAAGGGGTTAATTAAGGGGGGCTGTTAATGAATATGAGGGGAAGGGGCATTTGGGGGGGTATAAATGGGAGGGGATGGGATTTGGGAGTGGAGAAGTGGGAATATGGAGGGGGGATGATGGGATATGGGGGGGATATTGAGGGTGCAATGGGGCTGTGCCATGGGGGGGGGCGCATCCCATTGTACCCCCACCCCCCCCATTGGCCTTCTATGGGGTGTAGGTTATGGGGGGGGTGAGGGGCACCCCATAACTCACCCCCTTCCTTCCCCCCCCCCATAAGGACCCCCCCATGAAGGGCGAGACCCCCGTGAACAGCACCATGAGCATCGGGCAGGCGCGCAAGATGGTGGAGCAGCTCAAGATCGAGGCCAGCATGTGCCGGATCAAGGTGCTGAGAGGGTGATGCCGGGCCCCATAAGTGACCCCGCTCTGCCCCACAAGTGCCCCATAAGTGACACTACCCCCCCCCCACACACCCCATAGGTGTCGAAGGCGGCGGCGGAGCTGCTGACCTATTGCGATGCTCACGCCTGCGAGGATCCGCTCATCACCCCCGTGCCCACCTCCGAGAACCCCTTCCGGGAGAAGAAGTTCTTCTGCGCCCTCCTCTGAGCGACCCACACTTGGGGGGCAGAGCCGCACTTGGGGGGCAGAGCTGCGCTTGGGGGGCAGAACTGCACTTGGGGGGCAGAGCCATCACTTGGGGGGCAGAGCTGCGCTTGGGGGGCAGAGCTGCACTTGGGGGGCAGAACTGCACTTGGGGGGCAGAGCTGCACTTGGGGGGCAGAAACACATTTGGGGGGGACACCTGTAACTTACGGGGCAGACCCGCACTTGGGGGACAGAGCCATAACTTAGGGGGCAGAGCTGCACTTGGGGGGCAGAAGGGCACTTGGGGGGCAGAAGTGCACTTGGGGGGGACACCTGTAATTTATGGGGTAGAAGCACACTTGGGGGGGAACATATAACCTTGGGGTAGACTCATGGGGCAGAGCCACACTTGGGGGGCAGAGCCATAACTTAGGGGGCAGAGCTGCACTTGGGGGGTAGAAGCACACTTTGGGGGGACACCTGTAATATATGGGATAAAAGCACACTTGGGGGGACCCATAACTTGGGGGGCAGAGCCATAACTTATGGGGCAGCTCCACACTTAAGGGGTAGACCCATAACTTACGGGGCAGACTCACACTTGGGGGGGGGGAACCCTTAACCTGGGAGTAGATGCCTACCGGGGGGGTAGACCCATAACTTATGAGGCAGCTCCATAAATGGGGAGTAGCCCCATAACTTGTGGGGCAGATCCACACTTGGGGAGGGAGCACAATCCATAACCTAGGGGAAGACCCACACTTGGGGGGCAGAACTACACTTGGGGGTGGAGGGAAGAATTGCACTTTGGGCTAGACCCACACTTGGGGGGCAGCCCCATAACTTGACCCACAGTTGGGGGGCAGCCGCACAACCCCCTCAGCGTGGGTTCTGCCCCACTACATGCAATGGGATGTTTCCCATGAGCCCCATCCTGGGGGGTATATGGGGTTCCCTCCCCCCTGCCCCCCAAGTGCCCCTCGCCTGCCCCACAGGAGCCCCATGGAATGAAATAAAACCTCTTGGGTTCATCACCAACAACTGGAGCTGGAATTGGGGGGGTGGGGTGGGGGGTTGTCACGTGGGGGGGGTTCACTTGGGGGGCAGAGGGGTCCATGGATGGACCCACATCAATGGGGGGGGATAAATGGACCCCAAATTAAGGGGTCAAAAGGGGGGGCAGGAAGGGGGGATTTGGACGGGGGTTAATGAGGAATCATGAGCCCCAAATACTCCTCCCCTCAAGAACCCTCCCTATGGCCCCCTCCCCAGCCCCATAGGACCCTATGGTCCCCTCCCCAGCCCCACCCCGCAGCGCCAGGCCTGGCTCCGCCCCTCTGCCCGCTTTCAACATGGCGGCGCCCACAGCGGCTTCTCCCCCATCCCTCTGCCCGGCGCCGCCATGATCCCCCGCGCCTGCGCTTTGCGTCAAGATGGCGCCTCCCTTCCTCCCAAAATGCCGGCGCGCAGGGACGCCTCTGAGCCCGCCTCCAAAATGGCGGCGGTGGGGGGGGGTGGGGGGAGAGGCACCGCGGCCGCCATGTCGCTGTGCGGCGGCACCAAGATGGCGGCGCTCACACCCCCCCCTTGTTGCCATGGAAACCAGGTCCCCCCCAACTAGGCCCAAGCCCCAGGACTAGGCCTAAAGCGCGGACTTCGGCCCCACAACCAGGCCCAGGTCCCCAACCCCAGCCCCATAGCGAGCCCCAGATCCTGCCCCACACATAGAGCGGAGCCTCGAGTCGAGCGAACGGTTTTTATTCTAAAAACAGACAAAATGAGGGGGGTCGGTGGTGGTGGGGGGGTTACAGGAAGGAACCCGCGGCACAAAGAGGGGGGGATGGGGGGAACCCGGGGAGGGGGGTGTGTCAAAAAAGGGACTTTTTTTGTCTTTATTATTCGGGTTTTTGGAAAGATTCGGAATTATTTCTTGACGACGACAAAAATACACCCAAAACTCAAGAGAAATGCAGTGAACCCCCCCGAGTGGGGGGGGGAAGGGGTTTAATCCAGAAACGGAAGAAAATACAGAAAAAAACAACAAAAAATGAAAAAAGAGGATTTTTCATTTTTTAATCATGATTTTCTTAAGCTTTTTTTTTTTTTTTGCCTTTTTTTGTTCTGTTTTATGTAAAAAGGAGGCAAAAGTTCCTTCCTGGCCACCCCTCCCCCCACTGCTCCCATTCCCCCCTCCCCCTTTGGTGCTCGGAGGGGGAGTAAAAAGAACCCCAAAACCCAACCAAAATGGGGAAAAAAAGAGGGAAATGATCACAAAAGCAACAAAAAAAAGTCCAAAATGGTAAAAACCAAACACCCCCCCCCCAAACTGGAAAAAATAATGAGAAAAACCACCCCAAAATCAGGGAAAAAGACAAAAGTAGCAAGAAACAACCCCCCAAAAGAGCAAAATAATTGAATGTCCCCAAAAAAACCCCAAAAGTCATCAAAAAGAAACAAAAATAACCCCAAAATGATCAAAAAGCAAGGAAATGCCCCAAAAGAAACTCCAACAGAATCAGAAAAACTCCAAAATGGAAGGAAAAAAACCCCAAACCACGCAAAAATAAAAAGAACAAAATAAGAAAAAAATAACCCCCAAATTAAAACAAACCCAAAAACTCCCCCAAAAGGTCAAAACCCCCCAAAATCCACCCAATTTTCAAGCAGAACATTCAAAGACGTTGAATTTCCAACAGGAAAAAAGGGAAAAAAAGGCAAAACCCCCAAAATTCCAGGAAACTCCCCCAAATCCCCCCATCATTCCCATGCCCCCATTCCAGGAGGTCCTTGGGTGGGGGAAGAACAGGGATTTGGGGGGGTTTCTACCCCAAAATTCATTTAAATTCATCAAATCCATTGAAATCTCCCCAAAAGACGAGGCCCCAATAGCAGCGGTTGGAAGGGATTTAAGGGGGGGGAGGGGCGATTCCAGCCTCTTCCCACCAAAATTCCTCCAGGATTTGTGGGGTTTTGCCCCAAATTCCCCCCCCGACCCCATCCCCCCCAATTCCAAATACCCCCCCCCCCAAGGCTTTACCTGGAAGGAGATGAGAAGGGTTAGAGCCAACACTTGGCCTTTGCCATTTACAACCCTCTTTTTGGGGTGGTTTTGGGGTTTTTTACCATTTTTAGGGATTTTACCTTTTTTTTTTTTCTTTTTACCATTTTGGGGTTGTTTTTTACCTTTTTTGTTGTTTTTTTTTTCCCCCACCATTTTTGAGGGTTTTTTTTTTACCAGTTTGCGGTTTTTACCATTTTTGGGTTTTTTTCTTGCCATTTTTGAGCCTTTCTCCACCATTTTTGGGGGGTTTTCCAAGCTTTTCTCTGCACCCTCCCCCCGCCCTCCTCCCTCAACACTTCCATAGAACGAGACAATTCCTCGGTTTTTTCAACAAACTTTAAAAAAAAATTTACAGTTTCTTCCTTTTTTTGTCATTTTTCGGCTTTTTTTTTCGGGTCGTTTTTGCTGTTTACCCCTCCCCCCCCCATCCCTCTCCGTTTCCATTCCCAACCCCCCCTCTTTCCCCCCACCCCAACCCCATTCCCAACCCCCTCCCATCCCCATTATCCGTCGGGGGCCGTTTGGGAACGGACGGTTTCACCGGTACCCTTGGTAGCCGTAGTAGTTCCTGTAGTATCGGTCTCTATCCTGGTAGTAATTCTGCCACTGGGGGGAAAAGGGGATGTTATGGGAGGAAAGGAAGGGGGAAAAGCAGGAACTGGGGGGGGGGGATGATCCCGGTGGGAATGCCGTTACCTCCCGGTTGTACTGCCGGTAATAGTCCCGGTATCTGTTGTAGTCGTAGTCGCGGCCGTAGAAGCGGTCGTAGTCGCCGCGGTATCGGTCGTAGAAGTTGCGGTAACCCTGGAAAAGGGAATTTTGGGGGGGAATGGGGTTATTGGGGGTGTTCCTGGGTTATTGCAGGGGTTGGGATGGGAGGAGGGGGTTGGTAAAGGGGATTTTGTCTGGTTTGGGGGGAAGTGAAGGGGGAAGAAGTGATGGGGGGGAAGGGAAGTGATGGAGGGGAAAGGGAAGTGATGGAGGAAGGCAATAATGGAGGGAAGGCAAAGGGATGGGAGAAGGGGAAGCGATGGGAGAAGGGGAAGCGATGGGAGAAGGGGAAGCGATGGGAGAAGGGGAAGCGATGGGAGAAGGGGAAGCGATGGGAGAAGAGGGAGCAATGGAGAAGGGATGGGAGAAGGGGAAGCGATGGGAGAAGAGATGGGAGAGGGGGAAGCGATGGGGAAGGGGGAGTGATGGGAGGGAAAGGGAAGCAATAGGGAAGGGGAAGGTATGGGAGAAGAGGAAGTGATGGGAGAAGGGATGGGAGAAGTGGAAGCGATGGGAGAAGGGGAAGCTATGGGAGAAGAGGGAGTAATGGAGAAGGGATGGGAGAGGGGGAAGTGATGGGGAAGGGGGAGAAATGGGAAAAGGGGAAGTGATGGGGGGGAAGTGATGCAGGGGAAAGGGAAAGAATTGTGGGAAGTGGAAGTGATGGGAGAAGGGGAAGTGATGCAGAAAAGAAATGTGATGGGGAAGGAAACAAAGAGGGAAGGAGAAGCGATGGGGAAGGAAGAAATGGGATGGGGGAAGGAAATAAAATGGGGAGGAAGTGATGGGAGAAGGGGAAGTGATGGAGAAGGAAACAAAGGGGGAACAAATAACACAGGAAGGAAGCATTGTGGGGTAAGGAAGTGATGGGGAAGTGGGACGGAAGCAGGGCTCACCCCTCGGTTTCCAGGCTGTCCCCAGTACTGCTGCTGCCCATAGACCCGGTTGTCGTAGCCACGGCGCTGGCCACCGACTGCAGGGGGGGAAAGGAGAGCGGAAGAAGGGAGGGATCAGAGCCGGAAGGTGCCGGGAAGCCGTTGGGAAGGCGTCGGGCTGCGGGGCCGGCGCTCACCGTATCCCTGCCCGCGGTTGCGGTTCTGGCGGTTGCGCTTGTTGCGGTTGTTGCGGCGGTTCTGGCGCTTCTCCGAGGGCGGGAGCAGCTTCCGGGCCTCTTCCTTGTACTTGGTGACCAGCGGCTGCGCCTCCTCCTTGGGCAGCTCCGCAAAGAGCACCTCGTCCAGGTAATCGCTCTTCTCCGGCAGGGAATAGTTGGCTGGGGAGGGAATGGGGGTGGAAATGGGAAGTGAGGGGAGGGGAAATGGGGAGGGATGGGGGAAAAGGGGAGGGATGGGATGGGAGAAAAGGAAAGGGGAAGGGGGAAAAGGGAAGGGGGAAAAGGGAGGGGATGGGGGAAAAGGGAAGGGATGGGGGAAAAGGGAAAGGATGGGATGAGGGAAAAGGGAAAGGATGGGGAAAAAGGGAAGGGGGAAAAGGGAGGGGATGGAGGAAAAGGGAAGGGATGGGGGAAAAGGGAAGGGATGGGATGGGGGAAAAGGGAAAGGATGGGATGGGGGAAAAGGGAAAGGATGGGATGGGGGAAAAGGGAAAGCATGGGATGGGGGAAAAGGGGAAGGATGGAGGAAAAGGGAAGGAATGGGGGAAAAGGGAAGGAATGGGGGAAAAGGGAAGGAGGGGATGAAGACAGAAAGAGAAATATGGAAGGGAAAAAGGAGAAAAAGGGGCAAAGAGAGAGAAGACAAGAAGGAAAAGGAAGCAGCAAAGAGGGAAGAAACAAGGAAGGGGAAGCAAAGAGAGAAAGTGACAGAAAAAAGGAAAACAAGGAAAAGAGAGGAGACAAAACAGAAAGGAAGGAAGAAAAAAACCCAGGAGAAATATCCTTGTGGAAGCTGCCACTTCTCCTGTCCCCTCCTCCCCCCCAGCCCCTTTCCCAGAATCCCACCTTTCATTTCCAGCATCACCGACTCGGGAACGTCCTCCCCTTCCGCCTCCTTCCGCAATTCCAGCCTCTTCTTCCAGTCCTCCTCATTGGGGACAACGACCACGACCTTCCGGGAGAAGCCCTTGAAGGCCAAGAGCTTCCGCCTCTGCCCCGAGTTGTAGACGTTGCACTGGGAAGTGGAAGGAAAACCCACCCGGAAGTGGGAAGTGAGCATCGAGGAAGCGGAACTGGGGAGGAGAAAGGGTTGGGAATGGTTGGGAATGGGTTTGGGAGGAACCTGGTCGAGGATGAAGTTCCGCTTGGCGCGGGGCGCGATCTGCACCAGCTTGCTAAGGCACTGAGCTGCTTGCTGGGTTAACTGGTCTCTGCTCTTGGCATCCAGCTCCTCCACTGCCGGGCCCCGCGTCTGCCACAGGGAATAGGGAATGTGAGGGGGGAATGAGAGGGAATGGGAGAGGGGGAAGGGGGGGGTTCAGAAATGGGGGTAGAAACAGAGGAATAGAAAGGGGGGATAAAAGAATGGATAAAACAGGGGAATAGAAAGGGGGGTAATAGGAAGGGGGGATAGGAAGGGGGGATAGGAAGGGGGGATAGGAAGGGGAGATAGGAAGGGGGGATAGGAAGGGGGGATAGGAAGGGGGGAATAGGAAGGGGGGAATAGGAAGGGGGGAATAGGAAGGGGGGAATAGGAAGGGGGGAATAGGAAGGGGGGAATAGGAAGGGCGGAATAGGAAGGGCGGAATAGGAAGGGCGGAATAGGAAGGGCGGAATAGGAAGGGCGGAATAGAAGGAAGGGGGCACAGAATAGGGAAACAAGCACATGATGGGTGAAATAGGGATAGGGGGTGAATAAATGGGGCATTGTGAGGGGGAGAAAAACAGGATTTGAAGCGGGGGGAAAGGGGATTGGGGGGGGGGAGCAGCATTTGAGAGAAGGAAAGGGGCATTTGTGAGGTGGTAAATGGGGATTGCAATAAGGGGAAAAGGGGAATTGTGCAGTGGGAAAAGCTGGATCTGATGGGCAGGAAAGCAAGACCTGAGGGAGGAAAAGCCGGATGCGAGGGGGGAACCCATTCCAGGCACCGCTCACCTGCATCTGGTGCAGAACAGTCTCTGTTCCCAAAATGTTGTAGCGCTTCTCCCGGCTCTCCTGGGTTTGTTTCTGTGCCCATTGGGTTTTCCCAGAGCCCGGCAGCCCCACCATGAGCAGCACCTGCAGTGGGAAGCACCAGCATGAACGGATGGGATGCAACGGATCAGCCCCGGCGGCATTCCCGAGGGCGGGATGAGCGCTCACCTCGCACTCCTCTGTGGTCTTGGGGGGCAGCGGGGTGCGGACGCGCTCCTCGGCGGGCACGGCGTGGATGAAGACGAAACCCTCCGGGATGGGGAAGAAGGGCTCTTCCTTCTGCCCAAAGTTGAGCTCCACGGCGCAGTTCTTGCAGAGCACGTGGGGCAGCAGCGCCCGCTCCCCCAGCGCCTCCTTCCCGACCTGGAATGCCGGTCCCAGCTCCTCCCCGTTCTTGGAGAAGGAAAGTTCCACCAGCTCCTCGCCCTCGAAGTTCTGTGGGGGGGGGACCAAACCACGTTGGGGATCACACCCCCTCCAAGAACTCTTTTCCCATCTTGTTCCTTATTTCCCTTATCCTTTAATCATCCCACCTGGAATTCCCTCACAATCCTGCTTTTCCTTCCCCTCAATCCCAGTTTTCCACCTTCCTACTCCCCATTTCACCCCCAATTCCTTTGTTTCACCCCTCTCCATCCCCATTTCCATTCTCCCAATACCCATTTTCCGCTGCTCTCATCCCCGTTTCCCCGTCCCAATCCCTACTCTCTCCTTCCCACTTCCCCAAAATCCTCTTTTCCCCCTTCCCAATCCCATTTTCACCTCCTCTCCTCCCTTTTCCCCCACAATTCCTTCCCCCCATCTCACTTCCCCTTTCTCATCTCCCTTCCCTCCCCAATTCCCCCTTTTCCCCTCTCTATCCCCTTTTCGCCCTTCCCAATCCCTGTTCCCCCAATCCCCCTCCCACCCCCACTTTCCCCTGCATCCATGCCCTTTTCCTCCTCCCAACTCTTTCCCTTCCATCATCCCCCCATTTCCCTCTTCCCATCCCCGCCTTCCGCTCTCAATCCCCCCTTTCCCCCCTTCAATCCCTATTTCCCCCCTCCCCACCCCATTCCCAGCTCACAGCGAAGCAGCCGATGACATCTCCCTCTCCAAAGCTCTGCCCGAATTCCTCGAACTTCCCATTCTCCACCTTCAGCCCTCGCCCATCGAAGCCATAGGAGAACTCATCCTCCCCTGCCCGGGGTGGGGGGGGAACACAGACCCACATTAATACCAATGAGCAGCCCCAGGGGTGAAGGGGCGGGGGGGGATGATTCCATTGGGATGCCATTCCCACCTCCCAGCCCTGGTACCTAGCTGCGAGTGGGAGAAATCCACCGACCATCCCACGCGGAACAGCGGCACCTCGGTGCTGCCCTCCTTCACTGGCAGATACTGTGTCACCTGCCGGAGCCATAGGGATCCCGTTATCCCCCTTTTCCCGCTGCTATTCCCACTTCCCAAAGCTCCCACCAGCCCCACACCTTCGCCTCAAAGCAGATTTTCCCCTTGGTGACGCCGTGGGTGCTGCGGGCGCCGGACCAGAGAGCTGGGAACTTCTCAAAGAAGAGCGGCTGACCCCCGTAACGATCCTTGCTGGCTTTGAAGTGCAGATCCGAGGTGTCTGAAGAGGAAAACGGGATCAATCCCACGTTATTTGTGCTCGATCCCACCCCAATTCCACCTCAAACCCCCCCCAAGGTACGTACACGTGTCCAAGATGACGACGCTCTCATCGTCCTCCCCTTCTCTCGGCTCCTCTTCTGGCGGCGGCGGAGACTTGGATCTACCCAAGCAATAGGAAAACCATTGGGAAAAGGGGTTGGGATGAAGCCTAATGGAAAGGAAAAGCAGGATCCTGCTCCCAGCTCACCGGCTGTTGTAGGCTTCCTCACGGAACTCGTAGTAGGCGCGGCCGTGCTCGTCCTTCTCATCCCGCTGGCGCTTGACCCCGCGCCTCTCCCCGTCGGAGCCGGCGGGTTTGGATTTGTCGTCCTCGTCGCCTGAAGGCCGCGGAAAAGCAACGCTCGTGAGCTGGAAACGGCCCCATTCCAGCAGGGAATTCGGCTTTCCCGCCCGCCCGCAGCATCCGTCCAATCCCAAACGGGATGGGAAATGGGTTTGGAAGGCGCGGAGGGGGCGGCTCCCAAGGGATGCAGGTGAGGAAGCATCAGGATAACCTCAACACCGGGAAAATCCCAGTTAAAGCCTCCTTAATGGGAATCCCGGCTCCCATTGGGGCACCAAAGAATCCATCACTGGAAAGGAAGAGCCCAGGGCTGCCGGGAGGAACCTGAACCCTCGCGATCCCTAGGACATCAATGGGACATAACCTGCTCCATCTGGGAATATCCACCAAAAACCTGCTTTTCCCAAGCCCTAAATCCAGGGAGTTTTGCCCAAATCCTGGTTTTAATCCAACAGAAGCAATGAGTTTGTTATCCCGGCTGTTTCCTCCCCCCGCTGGCAGCACAGGCTCATCCCCAGCCCCAAATCCTTCCAAAAAGAGGGATTTTTCTCCTAATAAATGATCAAATCCCAGCAGCCGGCTCGGGCCGTGCTTCCCAAAGGAACAATCCCACCCCCGCCAGCCTCTGATGCTTCCCAGTACAGCGGGAAGGGTTAGATCCGGTTCATGGGCACCGGGTGCACAGCTCCGGGACAAAAAACGACCCCAAAACCCCCGGATTTTCCCTCCAAACGTGTCCCAGATCATCCCATTCCCTGTTCCCATCCCAATCCCGGCCGAAGCAACAACGTCTGGACTCCAGCCTCTCCCAGACCGGGTCGGGGGAAGCGGCTCCTGCTGCCCAGCAGCGGGTGAGGGGCTCAGGGCATCCTTCGCTGGGGGGGGACGGACGGGAAGGAGCTCATGGACTGGACAGAGCGGGAATTTAGAGTGGGATAAATGGGATCTAAACGGGGTGGGAAGCGCCTGAGGCCGAGATGGGAGCGGAATCCATGGGGATTAGGGAAGGTTTTGGGGGGCATCAGGTGGGAAAACGAAGCAGGGGCAGGCAGGAGCGCGGCTCCCCCTTGGAGGAAGCCGAGACCCAACGGGAGAACAAGGCCTCGGCGGGCAAGAACCGGGGCTGGGAGGGGGCCGGGGGCTGCTGCGGGTCCCTCCCGGTGCTCACCGGCCTGGGCTCCTTCCTCCTTGACCTCGGCGGCGGCGGCCTCGTCCCCGCTGGGCCCTTCCTCCTGCGGCCTCTCGGCTCCGTTCACGCCGCTGCCTTCGGGCCCTTCGGGCTCCGGCTTCACTTCGGCCGCCGCTTGCTCCTGCGGCTGCTGCTGCGGCGGCGGCGGCTGCTGCTGCTCCTCCACCGCCGCTTCCTCCACCTCTGCCGCCTCCTCCTCCTCCTCCTGGGGGCCGGGCTCGGCCGCCTCCACCTCGCAGGGGGCCGCCGCTGCTGCTCCCGCCGTGGCCACGGCCGCCTCCTCTTCGTCAGCCAAGAGCGCTTCCTCGTCCTCCTCTTCTTCCTCCTCTTCTTCTTCCTCTTCCTCCTCCTCCTCCTCCTCTTCCTCCTCCTCATCGCCCCCCCCGCCGTGGTGATGCGCGGGGGGGCCTCCGGCCGGTCCCGCTTCCCCGGCGCAGGCCCCAGGCCCGGCGGGGCCTCCTTCCTCGGGCCCCGCCGCCAACATCTCTGCGTCCAGGGCCTCCTGCAGCCGCTGCGCCAGCTCCACCTTCAGGCCGCGGGAATCCAGGCCGCGCCGGCCCAGCTCGGCCCGGAGCTCGGTCACCTTCAGCCGCTTCACGTCCATGGCGACGGCGGGGAGGGAAAGGGGTGGGGGGGGGGGAAGGGAAGGAGGGGAAGCGGAAGCGAGGGCGCGCTGAGGCGGCGGCGACGACGAGGCCTTTGGCGGCGGCAGCGGCGAGCGGGGGTCGGGCCTAGGCCCCGGGGCGGGGAAAGGGAAGGGGAAGGGGGGGGGGGAAGGCGGGGCCTGGCGGAAAGGCCGCGGCCGGGAGAGCGCGGAGGCCGGAGCCGGGGCCCGGCCGTCCCCGCTGCTGCCCTGCCCGGTGCCGGTGCCCGGTGCCCGCTCTCGGCCGCTTCGCTCCGCGCCTGCGCCGCCGCCGCCGCCACCCGCCGCCGCCTCACGACACCCCCGGACGCCGCCGCGCATGCGTCAAGCGGCACCACGCATGCGTCAAAACGCCCCCTCCCAGACCCGCGCGCAGCGCATGCGCACTCGCCGCAAACTCAACAAGCGCACGCGCGCTGCCCCCCCCCTTTCTCCACCAGCCTCTACCGACGTGCGTAAGGCATCCGCGCGCTCGGCGCCTATTTTCTGATTGGTTCCCGCCTCGCCCTATCGCAGGGCTGAGAAGGAGCGGAAGGGACGGGTTCTACCTAGCGACGCGGGGATGCTGCTTTCCCATTGGCTGAGCGCGCTGCTCGGCCGCTTTCCCGCCCGCTGAGGCGCGGCGGCCATTTTGTCTGGGCGCCTGAAGAAGGCGGGGGGGAGAGCGGCGCTGAGGTAGGGACGGGAATAAAATAAATAAACCCACAATACTAATTAATTAATTAATATAGCGATTATTGTGCTAATAATGATTAATAAACGGGGGAGAAGCAATGCACGGAATTCAACTCTTAAGAGCGCCAAACTGCGCACGTTTAAGGCGAGCTTTGCTTTCAGCGTATTTATTACCTTTCCCCACACGCACTCGCCGTTTCACAAGGAACAGTGGGAGGGGAGTTGCCACCACATAGAAGTGAGAGAGGGATTTAAATGAGTTTAGTCTGTTTTTTACCATTTAAAGGTCCCCCGAAGGGGGTGCACCGTTCCCGGAGGCACTGCAATACCGGGACGATGCGCGGAGCGGAGGGAGCAAGCTCCGGATCCAACTCCCAGTGCCAAAAATCCGTTTAATATAAAGTCCTCTAATCGAGGACGTATCAGATATTAAACTGATAAGAACAGATACTACACTTGATCTTAGCCAAAAGGCCGAGAAGCGATACCGCGAGCTGGTGCCGCAGCCGGGACACCGCCATCGGCTGTCACCCACGTCGCGGTGACCTCCACCGGGTCCGGTTTCCCACCCCATTACCTCCTTCCCCTGCTCGTGAACGGACCCAAGCCTCGGGAAGGGGGGAACCGACTCCGGCAGCCCCCCGAAACCACGGCCCCGGAGGATCCCGGCAGCCATTTCGAGCGGATATTTGCATCGACTCCGCCCCGAGGGGTCGGGCCGCGGCGCTGCTTTCGATTGCACCGATACCAATAGCGAATTTTACAACAAAACCAACGGAATTGATCAAAACCGATAAAATGGCTTAAAAAGAAAAAAGCTTTTTTATTCCGAACCTTTTAGAGCCTTTTCCCGCCGTTTCTCCCCCACTTAGGCCCTTGCTCCCGCCCCTTCCCATGATTCCCCGCGGACTATTTAAAGGCGAGAGCGGAAGAGCTGCGGCCATTTTGTCCGCGCAGCCGTCGCGGGTGGGTGAGTAGTTGGTGTGGGTTCTTTATCCTATTTAATCAATGGGACCGGATACGGTTGGTGCTTGTCAGGGTTGGGGTGCGAGGGTAAAGGCTGTGTTTGTCTGCGTTCATGAAGCTTGCATTTAGAGCCTTATGGGAGCGATCGTTCTTCCCCTATTCCTTAATGGGTTTGGTGGGGTGATTGTGCCGCTCCGTTCCCCCCTTTCTTTGCGGGGCCTGCTCCGTGATGAGCCCATTCACAGACCTGAACTGACCGCGGGGTGAAGGCTCGTATGGTTCTGATGGAGCCGCGCTTTTCGTCTCAGGGCTGCTGCGGAACCCGCGCTTATCGCTCTCTTATAACGCCTCTGTCGCTTTGTTTCCAGGCTCAGCCCCCGCTATGGAGCCGTTACCACCGGTGAGTGTCCCCGTCCCCGCGCACACAGCGGGACACGGGTGCTGTCGGGGCTGGGAAATCCCTATGGGAGCGGGGCTGCAGCGCTGCGGGGATGATCCCTGGAACTCTCTCTTCCTGACCGCGCTGGAGAAACACCATCAGGCTCTGAGTGGCGCTGGATTGTGTGTGTGTGTGTGTGTGGGGAGTCAGACCAATGTGGGGGGGTTCCTATGGGGGGGGTTAGGGTTTTTGGGGGTATTTTATCGCTGTTCGGTGACGATTCACAACCGACAAGCATATGGCTGAATGACCCTGATGCCAAACCCTCACTGAGAGCAGCGGGTTCGGTGGCATGGGGGTATGCGTGTGTTAATTAGTGAACCAACCCTAATTTATGCTCGTATTTACAGGGGTGCGGGGGGTTTTGAAGCCCCAAGTCACTATGAATGAACCCCAGGATGGACAGTGGGGCTGTGCATGAGGGTGAGTGCATGAACCTGCCCCTAGCCCCTGTGCTCCCCTCCCCGTCCGAAGCGATGACCCCCTTGGGCTGGACGACACTGGTCAATGGCAGCACCGAGTTACCAAAGCCCTGATCGGACACTGTGGGGTCCTGACCCCCCTCAGTGTGTCGTCCCCCCCAAACCCAGACCTGACCCGAACCCCCCCAACCCCTTTGTCTCTGCAGCCGCTGGCCCCCGATGAGGAAAACCCCACGCGTCTGACCCCCCCCTGGCCACCAGGACCTGCCCAAGGTCGAACCCACTGGTGCTGGCGGGGGGAGGGGAGGAGGATGCTGTGTCCCGATGGACGGTCTGAGGGGGCCGGGGAGGGGGGTTGGTTTTGGGATGTCCCCCACCCCCTCCCCTTTTCCATGTGATGACCCCAATTGAATCTCGTTCGGCTGAACCTGCTGTTGAGAAACAACCACTGATCCCAGGGGGGAGGGGGAGAAATGGGGATGGGGCCCCTCCCCCACCCTAACTGCACCCCCTGACCTCTCCCCTCTTTGTGTCCTCACAGCCCAGCCCTGAAGACCCAATGGGAGGAGGTACGTGTCGGGTGTGACGATGTCATCGATGACGTCACTTCTCCCCACCCCAGTTTTGGTGATGATGTCACACCCAGCTCACCTTGACTCCTGAAAACACCCGGGATGGCTGAAAAATTGGGATAAACGGGGGGAAAAGGTGGGAATGGAGGAGGGGAGGCACTCATTCCACTTCCTTATCCCCCTATCTGCTTTCACACAGGTGGCATGAGCTGGAGGCGGGGCCTAAGGTGAGGATGGGCGGGGTTTGTAGGGGAAGGGGGCGGGACCTGTGCCGAGGATGAGACGATACCGCCCCAGGCTGATCCCGTGACTGAGCGGTTCCACCTGAGGCGCAGTGGGGGGGAAGACGGGAGGGACCATTACGGGGTGAGAGGGGATAGCACACACTGACACCGGGCTTTGTGCTTCCTCCCGTCAGATCCGGTCCTGCTGCCTCCAGATGCCTGACGGAACACGCGGCTTCGTGTTAAATGTTAAATAAAATTGATTATTTTTGATACAAAAAACGGTTTTTTGCCTTGATTTGGGGGGGATGGGGAGCAGCGCCCCTGCTGGGTGGGAGGTGCTGCATGCTGTGTTCCGAGGGGGCGCGGCTTCAAGAAGGGGGCGGGTCCCAGAGCCAGGCACCCCCCCTCGTGATCTGCGCTCGGGGCGAGGCTTCCCTCGCTCTGCTACATCCGGGTCACGTCCCTTCAAAACGCGTCCGGCTGTAAACCGTGCACATCCGCAACCGCTAACCCGGAACCTCATCGCGCGGTACCTTTTCTCACCCGGAACTCACGTTCATACACATCCAACATGGCGGCGCCCGCTCACTGGAACCACGTTTGGGTCGGATCCGAAACCGGGGCTCTGAAAGGTGGCGGAGGGACGGGGATGGACCGGGAAGGGGGGAGGGGGCAAGGAGGGGATGACCCCCACATTGACCCCCTTTCCCCCCCCCATCCAGGCGTGAACCTCCGCAAGCAAAGAGCCAACAACTTCACGAGCGGCGCGGGGCTGCGGCGGGGGGAGGCCGTGCGCGCGCTCTGCTGGGGGGACCCAGGCGAGACCGAGGTGAGAGGGGTCAAAGGGGGGGGGGTTTGGGGAGGGGTAAAGGTGCCCTTCCCCCACCCGGTTTAATCTTCCCCCCCCCCCCGCAGCTCCTCGTTGGCGGCCTCGACGGCTGCGTCCGGTTGTTCAGCACCGAGAAGGGGAAGTTCACGGAGTCCCGGCCTTGCCCGGGGGGGGAGGGGCCGTTCTGCGGCCTCGCGACGCTCGGCAGGTACCGACGGTGGGGGGAGGGGAGACACTGTGGGGGAGGGGTGTTGCTATAAGACCCCTCCCCCACGTTTCTTTTTCTCTCTCCTCCACCTCCACCCCCCACCCCCGCCAGCTCCATCATCACCTGTGTCGAGTCCGGGCTCATCAAAGTGTGGGGGGAGGACGGGACCGAGCACGTGAGTGTTTATAGAGGGGGGGAGGATTTGGGAGTGCCCCTCCCCCCACACTGACCCCCTCCGCCCCTCCCCCCGCAGGTAACGCTGGAGGCGGGGCCGGGGCTGAACCGGATGTGCCAGGACCCGGCGCTGCCGCAGAGGGTGGGCACCGGGGGGCGCGAGAACGGGCTCAAGGTCTGGGACCTGCAGCGCCCCGAGGAGCCCGTGTTCCGCGCCAAGAACGTGAGCGGCGCCCCTCCCCCACCCCTGCATCCCCTTCCCCATCCCTCCTCAACCTTCATCCCCTCCCCCACCCCTTCATTACCTCCCCCAAGCCCTCCCCCCATTCATCTCCTCCCACCTCTTCACCCCTCCCCCATGCCCTGTGCGACCCCTTCATTCCCTCTCCCCTTCATTCACTCCCCGCATTCCCTCCCCCACCTCTTCACCCCTCCCCCATCCCTCCCCACTCCGTCATCCCCTCCCCCACCCCGTTATCCCCTCTCCCCCATCCCCCCTTTTCACACACACCCTCCTTTGTGTCACCCCCCCTTCTCATCCCCATTCCCCCCCCCCCATCAGGTCAGGAACGATTGGCTCGACCTTCGCGTCCCCATCTGGGACCGGGACCTCCAATTCCTGCCTGGCTCCGGCCGCATCGTCACCTGCACGGCCCATCGCCAGGTGGGAATGGGAGGGTACACACAATGGGGGTGGGGGGGAGGGGTGTTTTGGGGTCCCTGGTTTCATACCCCCCCCATGTCTCCAGGTCCGTCTCTATGACCCTGGATCCCCGCAGCGGCGCCCGGTGCTGGAGGCGACGTTCGGGGAGGGGCCGCTGACGGCCTTGGCCGTGGTGCCCGGGGAGACGTGAGTGGGGCTGGGGGGGCTATGGGGGGGTCTGAGGGTGTCAATGGGGGTTTATGGGGGAGTCTGAGGGTGTCAATGGGGGGTTATGGGGGGTCTGAGAGTGTCAATTGGAAGGGTTATGGGGGGGTCTGAGAGTGTCAGTGGAGGGGTTATGGGGGAGTCTGAGGGTGTCAATGGGGGTTTATGAGGGGGTCTGAAGGTGTCAATGGGGGGGTCTGAGAGTGTCAATGGGGGTTTATGGGGGAGTCTGAGAGTGTCAATGGGGGGGTTGAGAATGTCAATGGGGGGTTATGGGGGTGGCTGAGGGTGTCAATGGGGGGGTTATGGGGGGGTCTGAGGGTGTAAATGGGGGTGTTATCGGGGGGTCTGAGGGTGTCAATATGGGGGTTATGGGGGGTCTGAAAGTGTCAATGAGGGGGTTATGGGGCAATTGGGAGTGCCTGAGAGTGGCTGTGGGGGCTATGGGGGACCCTGGGCTGTTGAGGGTGGCCTGAAGGGGGGACTCAAATGTGCCCCTTTGGGGTTTATGGGGGGATCTGGAGGGGGGCCCTGAGGGTGTCAATGGGGGGCAATGAGGTAATGGGGTTATAGGGGGGTCCTTAAAGAGCTATGGAACAGCCCAGAGGAGTTACGGGGCACCTTGGGGTGCTCAGAAGTGCCCCGGGGGGGGGCTTATGGGGTAACTGGGGGGACTGGGGGGCACAGGAGGTTTCTGTGGGGCTGGGGATGACCCTGACCTCCCCACCCCCCCCAGCTCGGTGGTGGTTGGCAGCGCCCGGGGGGATTTGGCTGTCATCGACCTGCGCAAAGGTGAGGGGGGGGTCACCCCATGGGGGGGGGGTGGGGCTGCCCCTCCCCACGCAGCTCACCCATCCTCCCCTTCTCCTCTCCCCTCCCCCCAGGGCGGGTCCTGCGCTGCCTGAAGGGGGCCGCGGGGGGGGTGCGGGGGCTCCAGTGCCACCCCCAGGGCCCCCTCGTGGCCTCCTGCGGCCTCGACCGCTTCCTGCGCCTGCACCACCTGGGGGAGGGGCGCCTGTGCCACAAGGTGACCTTTGACCCCCTGTGACCCCCCCCAATCCTCTTCTGATCCTCCCCAAACCCTCCCTTTGACACCCCCAAAACCCCTTTTGCTACCCCAAAACCCCTTGAAACCGTCCTGACCCCCCCCAGCTGCACTCAACCCCCCCCAAACCCCCTCATTAAAGCTCCTGAAACCCCAAACTCCCTCAGGAGCCCCTAAAACACCCCCAGTACCCCCTGAGAGCCCCTCAACCCCCCCCCCCCATTAACACTGCTGTCCCCCAGGTCTACCTCAAGTCCCAGCTCAACTGCCTGCTGCTGAGCACCCAACACGACTGGGAGGTGAGCACCCCCCCCCCCCCGGGTTTGGGGTACCCTAAGGCTGGGCTTTGGGGGTCTCCATGCCCTGTTACCCCCCCCTTTTTGCCACTCTCAGAGCGAGGAGGAGCCATCCCCCACGGTGGAGGTGAAGGACGAAGAGGAGGATGCGCTGTGGGACACCATGGAAACAGTCCCCACCCCCCGGAAACGGGGCAAGAAACGGAAGACACAGGAGGGGTGAACAGGGGGAGGGATCAGAAATTGGGGCAAAAAACTCTGATTTTGGCTCTTTTGGTTGCATATGGTGTTTTTTTTGAGGGATAAAGGGATGCAGCATCTGCAACTCTAACCCTAAACTTGACCTTTGACCCCACACCCCAATCTTTCACCTTTAGAACCCCTCCATCCTCTGCTCCCCACTTCGGGTATTTCCGGCCGCGCTCGGAAGGGCTCGGGGAGCCCCCGTCTTGCGTCGGCTCCTGTGGCCGCTTGCCCCGCCCCTCGACCCCCTCCGCCAATCACCACCGCTCGGGCATCTTCGCCAGCGCTCGGCGTGCTCCGGGTACTTCCCGCTCCCCGCCAATCGGCTCTATCCGACCTCACTCGACTCGGTTCTCCCAGCCAATCGGCTCCTTCCGTCCCTACTCGGCTCTCCCCGCCCTCCGCTGCTCGGGTATTTCCGGCACTGCTCGGCTGTTTCCGCCCGTCCCATACAGAACCACGCCGCACACAGCTTCGTGCTGAGCCCTCTAATTACCACCACCCCCTCCGTGCCCCTAATTAACAGCAATTAAAGCCCTTCTCAACCCAGCGCTCACTGACGGCCCTAAGAGCCGCTCAGCAACCCACCAACCCCATCAAAGCACCAGTTTAACCCCACAACCCCCTCGATACCCCCAAACTAAACCCCCTAAAGGAAAAGAAGACCCACAAAAAGCCCCAAACTGCTGGGAATTGGCCCCAATCCGGTTCCCGTTTACTGGTGCCACCGCTCAGGAGTTGGCGTTGGGCCCCTTCTTCTTGCCGAAGCCGGGCACGACGTTGACGAAGCGGCGGTTGTACTGCATGCGCCGCTTGGCCCGGCCCGTCTTCTTCTTCTTCTTCTCCTGCTTGGCCACCTATGGAGGAGGAGGAAAGTCGGGGGGGGTCCCCAAAACACGATGGGGGGATCCTTAAATCCATAGCGGGGGGGGTCCCCAACACTCACCTTGGGGGTCTGGCCCCTCACTTTGCCAGCGCGGGCGAGGGAACCGTGGACTTTCCCTAAGGATGGGGAGGAAAATGAGGTGTTGGGGGGTCATTAAGTTAATGAGCACCCCAATAATTAGTGTGTCCCCCCCCAAACATACCCCCGAGGAGTCGCGAGGAGAGGTCGAGGGTGGCCAATTCGGGGAGGGGGCTCTGTCCCAGCACAGCATCATCGTCCAGGGGGGTCCCACTGAAGAGCAGCACTTGGTCCTCGGGGGGGACACCGGCCAGCGCTGCCACCCGCTCCTAGAGGAAGGGGGAACACACAAAGGGGGGGGGGTTTAATCCCCAAAATGGGGTTTATTTGGGGGGGGTACCCCATGATTTAGGTAAGGGCTCACCTTGAGCTGAGCGACGGTCTCGGTGCTGGAGACCTCGACAGTGTGGAGGGCCTGGGCGCGGATGAAGAGCTGCATGGTGGCTGAGGAAGGGGGAAAAGGGGGGAGGATTTAGGGGTGTCCCCATTAAATACAACAAAGGGGGACCCCCACATCCCCCCCCCCAAGTTATGGAACATCCCGCGGGGGTCTCCCAGCCCCATCGGATCTACTGGGGGGTGTGTCAAAAGGTTTAGGGGTGCCCCCCCTCCTTTAAATGGGGGACCCCAGGAAAGTGTGAAGGGGGGGGCTGTAACTGCTCCCACACAACTCCTGAATCACCCTGGGGTGCAACACTGGGGGACGGGTCTGGGGTTCCCAATCATCTCTGGGGGGGTTAATGGGGTTTCTCTGCTGCCATTCCCTGCCCAAAAGGACTTTGGCACCTGGCAAAGGGCCCTGGGGACAAAGGGCTGGGAGAGCGAACCTGTGCTGGGCTGTCAGGAGCCCAAAGGGGCTGTGCCCCATCCCAGCAGCACCTGAGGCCCCCAGACCCCCAATAACCCCCCTATGGTACCCCTCCAATGCTCTCTAAAGCCACTCAGCGGCTTTCCCCACACCTCAAGCCCCACTTTGAGGCCCCCAACAACCCTCCAGAGCACCCCACATCCCCTATGACCTCCCCCAGACCCCATATACACCCCTGCAGTCCCCTTCAAGGCCTCCCCGTACCTCAGGACCCCTCCAAATCCCCCTAAGAACCCCCCCATATCCTCCAGAAGGCCTGTACCCACACCTCAAACCTCCCCAGACCCCCATAAAGCCCCTCAGGTGCCCTCCCCTCACCCCAAGCCCCACTTAGAGCCCCCACAACGCTTCAGACTCACCCAAAGCCTCACAGACCCTCATTTACCCCATATAACCCCCACCCCAGCCCCATCCAAGGCCTCTAAAAGCATCACTCCGCCCCTCAGCCCCCACAATAACCACCCCAGACACCTCTAGAACCCCTCAGAGGCTCTCCCCACACCTCAAACCCCACTTAGAGCCCCCCAATAACGCCCTAAACCCGCTTAAGGCACCCTACGGCCGCGGCCTCACCTCAGCGGCCCCTCAGCCGACGGGGATCGCGCCTCAGGAAAGGGCGGCTCTGCGCCTGCGCGGCTGCGTGCTGACGTCACGCGTACGTACGTGCGTGCTGACGGCGGGGAGGAGGAAGGAGGTGTTTCCAAGATGGCGGCCATGGCGGCGTTAGGCCGGCGGCTGCTGCCGGCGCTCGGGAGGGCGGTGGGGTGCAGGAGGGTGCAGGTAGGGACGGGATATTGAAGGGAGGCAAAGGGGAATATGGGGAAGGGGTTTGGGGGGAGATGAAGCGGGTACTGAGGGAAAACGGGGGGGTCCTGAGGTAAAATAAGGGATTCTGAAAGGAAATACGGGGTTCTGAGGTAAAATGGGGGGGTTCTGAGGTAAAATAAGGGATTCTGAAGGGAAATGCGGGAATTCTGAGGTAAAATGGGGGGTTCTGAGTTAAAATAAGGAATTCTGAAGGGAAATGGGGGGTTCTGAAGTAAAATAAGGGATTCTGAAGGGAATGCCCCCCCCCTTTTGCAGACCCCTCCTGGATCGCAGAACCCCCCCGGATCGCAGACCCCCCCCTATGAGGAGTCCTCGGCTGACTTCATCTTCGTGGAGCGGCTGGTGCCCCCCAGCATCGTGCCCGACCCCCCCCCGCACCCCTCCTACCCCACTCCATCAGGCTGGAGCCCCCCCGCAGGTCAGTGACACCCCCCCCTCCTTAATATCCCCCCCATTCAGGGCAAAGCAACACCCCATGGAGGTGCTGAGCCCTAAGTAATAGCACTGGGGAGGGATGTACCCCTAAAGGGGGGTATTTACCCCTTAGGGGGGTATTTACTCCTTAGGGGGGTATTTACTCGTTTGAGCAAACATGGGGGGTACTTATCCTTGGGGTGGGCAATTTAGGGTGGTTATTGCCCCTAGGGGGGTGTATTTACTGGGGGGGGGGGCAATAAAGGGATTTAAATGTCCTATTGAGGGGGAATTATTTACTGGGGGATATGAGGGGTGATATTTACATTGGGGGGGCAAGTAAATTTAAATGTTTTATTATGGGGCAATTATTTACTGGGGGGGCAATAAGGGGGTTACTCCTTGGGGGTGTATATTGAGGGGGAGCATCGCCCATTGCCTGGTGTATCTACCCCCAACAGTGGTGGGTTATTACCCCTGGGGGGGGGCATTATTACCCCCATGGGTAGGTTATTACCCCATGGTGGGGCACATGACACACTTCATTATGGGATGTCCCCCTCTCCAGACCCCCCCCCAGCCCTGCCCTACTTCATCCAGCGCTCCCGGTACCACAACCTCCCGGTGTACGAGCGGGTGGTGAGCGGCAACCGGCGCCTCACGGACCTGCAGCACGTGGAAGGGGACCTCTGGGTGAGGCCTTGGGGATAAGGAGAGGGGGGGGGAGTTAAGGTTTTGGGGTGCTAAAGACCCCCCTTTTGTGTGTGTGATCCCCCCCCACCAGGCGCTGGAGCGGGAGGTGCGGGAGCTGCTGCAGTCACTGGGGGTGTTGGAGCCGGAGGTGCAGGTGAATGAAGTCACGGGCAGGCTCCGGATCAGGGGGCATTGGGGTGCGGAGCTGCGGCGCTGGCTGCTGCAGAAGGGTTTCTAGTGCCTGAGATAGCCCATAATAACCCCGAGACAGCCCATAATAAACCAGGACACGCCAAACCAGCCTAAAATGCATCTTGAATGGTGAAGTGCACTCCGAAACATGCCCCAGAACACCCTGAAACACAGCACAGAGTACCCCACAGCACCGGAAAATACACCTCAAAACACATCCTGGTACTCCAACATATCCTAAAGTACACCCTAAACCCTGAAATACACCCCAGAATACCCCATGATACAAGAGAACACCGCCACATACACCCTGAAACACACCTTGAACCCTGAAATACACCCCAAAATACACTGAACCCTTAAACATCCCATATACACCCCAAAACACACCTTGAAACCTAAAATACCCCAAGTATACCACAGGATAACACCAGAACACCCACAGATACACCCTGAAACACACCTTAAACCTGGAAATATACCCCAGATACACATGGTATACCCCAAAACACACCTTGAACCCCAAAATACACCCCAGAATACCTCTAATACACCCCAAAACACACTTTGAACCCTGAAAAATACCCCAGATACACTCCATCATGGACCAAAACACCCCCAGATACACCCCAAACCACACCTTGAGCCCTGAAATACACCCCAAAATACCCCAGATACACCCCATGATACACCAGAACATCCCCCCGATACACCCTGAAACACACCTTGAACCCTAAAATACACCCCAAAATATACCCCGAACCCTAAAATATACCCCATATACACCCTGAAACACATCTTGAACCTTGAAATACATCCCATATACACTTCAAAGCAGACCTTGAAGCCTGAAATACACCCCAAAATACGCCAAGTGTACCCCATGATACACCAGAACACCCTCAGATACAACCTGAAACACACCCCAGATACACGCCAAAACACACCTTGAACCCCGAAATACACCCCAAATTACCTCAGATACACCCCATAATACACCAGAACACCCCAAAACACACCTTGAACCCTGAAATACACCCCAAAATGGGACTGAAGGTCTTCACACAGAGTGGGGAACCCCAAACTCAAAGCTGTTCATGCCTTGGGGGGGGTCCCCCCCAAGAAATGGGGATCAAAGCCACTTGTGACCCCAAACTGCACCGGGGATCCCAAAAAGCCCTTGTGACACCCCCAAAGTAAAGTATGGGAAGCTCCTGGTGGTGGAGCCACTTCATTTATTTACACTTCCCCCCCCAAAATTAGGGGGGGACCCCAAAAATGTACAGAAAAAGGGGGTTGAGGGGGTAGAAAAGGGGGGTGGGGGTGATGTTGGGGGGGGTCAGGGTCCGGTTCAGGTCTGCGGGTAGTACTGGTTGTAGTTCCATGGGGACTGGTAGCTGTAGGAGCCGTATCCGTGCTGGGGGGGGGACAATGGGGGGGTCATCAGCATCACTGGGACCCCCCAAATCCATTCCCCCTCCCCCCATCATGACCCCAACCCAAACTGACCTGGTACCAGTAGTTGTAGGAGGGGCTGGAGGTGTTGTCCCCCCCCACAGAGGAGAACCCAACCGGGCCCCCCCCCATGCCGGAGCCATCGTCGGGCCGGAGCCGCTTGTCCTCGGGCTCCTCCGAGCTGGGCAAGGGCAGAAATGGGGGAGAAAAGGGAGAAGTTAGGGGGAAAATGGGGAAAAGAGGGAGAAAAGGACGAGTTTGGGATCACAGGGGAGAAATTTGGGGCTAAAAAGGGAAAAATCTGGGATAAAAGGGAAAAAAAATGGGGATAAAAGGGCAGAAATTGGGGATAAGAGAAAACTCGGGAATGAAAAGACAAGTTTGGGATGAAAGTGGAAAAATGTGGGGATAAAAGGGGGGAAATTGGGATGAAAAGGGAGAAATCTGGGATAAAAGGGGAAAAATAGGGAAAAAACAGCAGAAATTGGGGATAAAGAGCAGAATTTCGGGATAAAAGGGGAAGGATCTGGGACAGAAAGAGAAGTTTGGGATAATGGGAAAATTTGGTAACAAAAGGGAAGAATTTGGGGATGAGAAGCAGAAATCAGAATAAAAAGGAAAAATTGAGCTAAAAGAAAAGAAATGGGGATATAAAAGACATATGCAATAAAAGAGCAGAAATGGGAGATAAAGGGGAAAAATAGAGCTAAAAGGACAAGTTTGGGATAAAAGGGGTGAAATATGGGAATAAAAAGGAAGGGGATAAAGAGCAGAATCTGGGCATAAAAGGGGAAAATGGGTATAAGAGGGGAAAAATGGGCATAAAAGGGGGGAAATAGGAGTAAAAGATCAGATTTGGAATTAAAAGGGATAATAGAAAGGATAATTTGGGGTAAAAAGGGAAAACCTGGGGATACGGGGAGCAATTTGGAATAAAAGAGCTGAAATCAGGGATATACAGACAGGGGAATGGGGGATAAAGGAAAATGGGGGCAGAAAGGGGAGAAACTGGGATGAAATGGGAGGGATGAGGGGATGGGAATGGGTGGAAGGATTGGGGGGAACACAATGGGGGGGTGCAAGGGGGCCCCCCCATTCCCTCACCCATTCTCGGGGGCCCTCTTGCGCGCCGCGTGCTGCTTGAGGATCTTCTGGTGCTCATCATAGGCCGTGAGGAGGCTGTGGGGGACAACCACAGCTCAAAGAGGGGGGACCGGGACCCTTTTTGGGGTGCCCCCCCCCCTCTTCCAAAGCCTGACCTATGGATGCTGGAGCCAAAGTCCTCGAGGAACTCGACGCGGCGCTGGGAGAAGATGAGCTTGGCCTCGTCGGGGAGGGGGCTGCGCAGCGCCCGCTCGAAGCACCGCATGGTGTTGCCTTCGTTCTGCCCCACATCGGCCCCAAACTCCATCTCCAGGAGGTTGGCGTGGAGCCGAGCGTTGTCCTGCCCCACGGCACAGGGGTGGTCATGGGGGTGGTGGGGGGGCACAAGTGGGGTTTGGGGGAGCCACAAGTGGGGTTTTGGGGTGGCTCAAGTGGGGTTTGGGGTCTTCAGTGGGACCTGGGGAGCCTTAAGTGGGGTTTTGGGGTGCCTCAAGTGAGGTTTTGGGGTCTCCAGTGGGGCTTGGGGTGCCTCAAGTGGGGTTTGGGGTCTCCAGTGGGGCCTGGGGAGCATTAAGTAGGGTTTTGGGGTGCCTCAAGTGGGGTTTGGGGTCTCCAGTGGGGCTTGGGGTGCCTCAAGTGGGGTTTGGGGTCTCCAGTGGGACCTGGGGAGCATTAAGTGGGGTTTTGGGGTGCCTCAAGTGGGGTTTGGGGGACTCCAAGTGAGGTTTGGAGAGCTTTAAGTGGGGTTTTAGGGTGCCTCAAGTGGGGCTTGGAGTCTCCAGTGGGACCTGGGGAGCATTAAGTGAGGTTTTGGGGTGCCTCAAGTGGGGTTTGGGGTCTCCAGTGGGACCTAGGGAGCCTTAAGTAGGGTTTTGGGATGCCTCAAATGGGGCTTGGGAGTCTCCAGTGGGCTTGGGGTGCCGCAAGTGGGGTTTGGGGTCTCTAAACCCCCATTAAAACCCAACCAAACCCCCTCCCAACCCCCCTACACCCCCATTAACCCCCCTAAACCCCCATTAAAACCCCTTCCCCAGCTCCCCTCCTCACCGGCTCCTTCTCCAGCGCCTCCACCAGCACCCTACGGGCCTTGGCCAGGTTCTGCTGCACCTTGCAGGCCTGGCGCGCCAGTTTGACCGCGTAGAAGGAGGCCAGGGGCAGCCCGGCGTTGGCTTCCATGGCCTCGGTGAGCAGGGCCTCGGCGCGCTCCAGCTGCCCGTGCCGCCGCTCCAGGCTCACGCGCCGCAGCCGCACCATAGCCAGGCCCGGCACGGCCTCCTCGAAGCAGCGCAGGATGCGCCGCGCTTCCTCCACGTTGCCTGCGGTGGGAAGGGTGGGAGAGGGGAGGCTCTGGGATGGAGGTGGTACCATAGACCCCCCCCCCCTCCAAAGAAGAGGGTTTTGGGGTGAAATAGAACACTACAACCCCAAAAACGAGGGTTTTAGGGTGAAACATGGCATTTCAGACCCCAAAATAAGCATTTTGGGGTGAAAAGTGGCATTTCGGATTGAAAACAGTGTTAGGGGGTGAAAAATAACATTTCAGACTCAAAAAGGAGCATTTTGGGGTGAAACATGGCATTTCAGACCTCCAAAATAAGCATTATGGGGTGAAAAGTGGCATTTCAGATTGAAAACAGTGTTTGGGGGTGAAATATAACATTTCAGACCCCAAAAAGGAGTATTTTGGGGTGAAATATACCTTTTGAGACACCAAAAAGGAGCGTTTTGGGGTGAAATGTGGCATTTCAGACCCTAAGTGGAATGTTTTGGGGTGAAATGTGTCATTTCAGACCAAAAAGTGGAGTCTTTTGGGATGAAATATGGCATTTCAGATTGAAAACAGTGTTTGGGGGTGAAATATAACATTTCAGACTCAAAAAGGAGCATTTTGGGGTGAAACATGGCATTTCAGACCCCCAAAATGAGTATTTTTTTGGGGAAAAGTGGCATTTCAGACCCTAAATGGAGCGTTTTGGGGTGAAATGTGGCACTTCAGACCCTAAATGGAGCGTTTTGGGGTGAAATGTGGCATTTCAGACCCGAAATGGAGCATTTTGGGGTGAAATGTGGCATTTCAGACCCTAAATGGAGCGTTTTGGGGTGAAATGTGGCATTTTGGACCCCAAATGGCACATTTTGGGGTGAAATGGGGCATTTGAGGGTGAAATAGAACATTTCAACCCCCAAAAAAAGGAGCGATTTGGGATAAAAGTTAAATTTCAGCCCCAAATCCATCTTTTGTGCTGCTATCCACCACCTCAACCCCTAAAAAAAGCGCATTTTGGGGCGAAATGTGTCATTTCAGTCTGAAACAGTGATTTTGGGCAAAACACGCCCACTTTGCCCTAGAATAGTGTTGAGGAAGGAAACGTGGTGGTTTTGCTTCAAAACGAGGTGGTTTGGGTCTCTTTCAGGGCTCCCCTACCTTGTTTCTCCTCAAAGGCAGCCCACAGGAGGTGGATGTTGGGCTTCCTGGGCAGGTGATAGCCACAGGCCCGCTGGAAGACGCTCCGGGCTCCCGTCACCGTGTGGTTTTCCAGGTATTTGGTGTACTGCAGGGAATAAAGAAGTGGACCCAAGAAGAGGGGCAACGATGGGGGGGGGGGGGGAACACGGACACGGCCAAAGAGACGGACGCGTGAGCATCCCCCCGCCGCCCGGGCGGGCATGGGATGCGCTCAATCGGGTGGGGGGCACTCACGTTAAGGCCCCTCTGCTCCGACATTCCTGCGGGCTCTTAGGCAGGGGGGGAAGGTGCCGCGGGCAGGGGGGGAAGCAGCAGCGGGAGTTAAACAAACGGGTGTTAGAAAAACGGCGTTTCCGGGAGGAAAAAAAGAGTTAAAACCGTTCATTTTTTAAAGGGTTTGGGTGGGGAAACACCCTCGGATGACCCCAATGGGGGTTGGGGGGGGGGGGGGGTTGGGTTTTCCTGCTTTAAAGAGGGATTTTGGGAAGTGGAAAGAGGGAAAACGGGATGGGAAGGGGGGAATGGGCTCACCTTGATCCAGAATTCCTCATAGAGGGCGCAGGCGATGACGCAGCGCTCGAAGAGGACGATGGTGCGCTCGTGGGAGCCCGCTGCCATCTCGTAATCCAGGTAATCCCTCCAGTTGCGGAGCTGGGCCCTCTCCAA